TTTGTTTTTGGTTTCTTTTGGTACCCTAGCAATTTCAGTTTCTGTTACTTTGTTGAGCCTTCCACAGAATGTGGACAACTGCTGGTTATCATGTATGTTGCTAACGAGCATGACTATACATCAGCTAAACCAAAAATTATTTATTGGGCACTGCATAGGTGGTATGGGGCCTACCGAATACTTCTGATTCCCAGCCCTCAAAGAAATTCCAGTTTAGCTAGGGAAACGAGATGAATCCTCATCAAATGAACAGTATTCAACATTGGATTAATGTCAATTTGTATAGTATTGACCACCTGTGTAATAATGAGTTTAGACCTCATCCTTTCTTTCAGTCTTAGCAACTCACATATCTTCAAAAATTCTTTATTGGGCCTCTTCTCCAAACTTCAGCTGCTTGTGCTGCATTTCATTTAGAAACCGGGAGGACCTGATGTTTGTAAACACTGCCTTTAATCAAAAGTTCTGCAACGTGGCTGTGTGCCAGAACCTTCTGGGGAGCTCTAAAAAATACAACTGCCTGTGTTTCCCCCGCTCCCCAGATACTCTGATTTTACTAGTCTGGCCTAGGAAGAGGAGAGGAAAGAAGAGGGGATTGGGATTTTGAAAATGTCCCTAAGTAATTCTAAAGAGCAGACAGTGTTGAGAATCACAGCCCTTAAAAAAAATGGGCTCAATGAAGAACCTTTGAAGAAATTTGAATTACTGAGACTGAAAGAAAGGATGGGGTCTAAATACTTATTAAAAGAGCATTTTTCTTGAATGGTGGCATAAGCCTGGGGGTTAAAGGGTAGTGGGGCAGCAACAACAGGGCTGTTTTCTCCACTCTGGAAGGGACCCCTTCAGTGTACAGGTGCCCTGCCAGGGATTCCAGAGCAATGGAAAAGCTTTACCGTGATACGCTGACTCTATCCTTGGGTCTTTCCTTGGATGTACATGCAATATCTCTTCCAACCAAATCCTAATATTGCAAGCGCCCATCACTTTTCTGTTCCTCTACAGCTGTGGCCCCAACCCTCATGCCACAGACTGGTACCATTCATTCGTGGCCTGGTATGAACCCGGAAGTGAGCAGGCCAGTGAGCAAGGGAAGCTTCATCTGTATTTACAGCCGCTCCCCATCACTCACATCACTGCATAAGCTCCGCCTCCTGCCAGATCCGCAGCGGCATCAGATTCTCACAGGAGCAGGAACCCTACTGTAAACTGCGCACGTGAGGGATCTAGGTTGCGCGCTCCCTGTGAGAATCTAATGCCTGATGATCTGAGGTGGGGCTGAGGCGGTGATGTTAGTGCTGCAGTGCGGCTGCAAATACAGATTTTCACCAGCACAGAGGTTTGACTGCACGATAAATGTAATGCGCTTGAATCATCCTGAAACCATCTCCTCTCTCCCCCGGTCCCCCGCCCCGTCTGTGGAAAAATTATCTTCTATGACACCGCCCCCTGGTGCCAAAAAGGTTGGGGACCGCTGCTCTACAGTAGCAGTTACCAGTTATTGAGCCCCCATCATCTACCAAGCGTTTACATCCATTATCTCTGATCCTTACCAACACCTTGAAAAGCAGTTATTTTACAGATAAGGAAACAGATAGGTTGAGTTTTTGATCCAAGGTTATACAGGAAATGGCAAACCTAGGATTCAAAGCCTGCTCTGCCTGATTGCAGTGCCTGTATTTTGGCTATGCCAGCCTGCCACCTGCCTCCCTGTGGCTCCCTCACCTGTTTCCTCTGCTCAGAGGGCCTACATGCAGGTCTTTGACTTTCCTTACTCCGGTGTGTGAGTCTACAGATAGATATGTGCCTCAACAGAGCAGCGTCTCATGAAAGGCCGGGTCTTGCCTTTTCTAAATTCCTCTTTCAGGGAATGCTGCGAGGAGCTCCGTGTTGAATTGCTTTATATCCATCAGAAGAAAGTGTGTGAGGAGCGGAAAGCACAGGTGGCATTTAATGAGGAGCTGAAGAGACAAAAACTGTTGGAAAAGCAGTTGTTCTCAAGGCTGTGGGAGGAAGACCGGTTAGCCAAGGAAAAGCGAGAAGCCGAAGAGGCGAGGAGACGGCAAGAGCTGGTGGAGAACACTCGCCTGGGGCTGAACGCCCAGATCACCAGCATCCAGGCGCAGAGGCAGGCGGCGCAGCTGCTGAAGGAAGAGGAGGCGCGCCTTGTGGTGGGTCTTCCAAAATGCTTGTTATATGGTGATCAGCTCGTGGGGGTAATCCAGTTTGCAGGCCTGTTACTGTACCGTCTGCCTGATGGCCCAGGCTGGGTCACAGGCCACATTGCCATGTTTGGATTCTTACTGCTATTTAGTAATGCATGCAAATCTAGATGTAGAGATGCACGTAGAAGTCAAGTCTGGAAGGCCAGCACATCAAAAAGTTGACAGTGGTGGTGGGTGATGAGTACTGGGATTAACGCATTGACTGCCACACACAAAAAAAATCAGTCTTTTCCTTGGGGCCACGGTGTTTTATTATGAAAATAGAATAAAAACTTCGAGTGTCATTTAAAGGCAAACAAAAATAGAAAAATGAAATTTATTGGCTTCTATTCATTTAATCCACGTTTTTAGAATTAAGTTGTCAATATTATTAATAATTGTAACAATAAGAAAATCAACGATAAGATTTTATATATGCTTCATGTGGCCCCAGGGTCAAAACCAAAGCGAGTTAAATAACTCTCATGGCAGTTAATATGTTAAGGGTGGTTTCTCTTTATGCTTTTCTGCATTTTTTTAACTCCATTAAAGTAAAAAATCGTTACTGATAAAGTAAGTTATTTATTACTTTATTATCACACATACAGAGTGATTTTCACAAAGCTCTATTGCTGATCCAGCAATGAAAAAGAAAGTTTATTTCTCATAGCCTCTCTAAATCCAGGGGTGTGTGTGTGTGTGTGTGTGTATGTATTTCCAAGAAATCCCTTATTCTCATCTCTTAAATCAAATGCATTAACTTATTTGTTTTGTCCAATTGTACTGATGCATTATCTTTATTATTGTTCCACCTTAGGAAAATGACATTGCACGGATTAAACTTGAGGATGAACAGGAGAAACTAAAGAAACAGAAAGCAAAACAGGAAATGAAGGCTGCTTTGCAAAAATCCCTAGAAGAGAAGATGCGGCAGATTCAGCAGGACTACAGAGAAGAACAGGACTTGAACATGAAGCTTGTGCAAAGGGCTCTTCAAGACTTACAGGAAGAGGCAGAGAATAGGAAGCAAAACAGAGTAAGACATTCATTTAGTTTCTTACTATATGCTGGATGGGATTCCTTGTTGAGTTCTTGATCTTGTGGAAGATGACCGGAAGTATTACAGTGCTGCACTAAGTATGGTCCATGAACCAACAGCATCGGTATCATCTGGCAGGGTGTTAGAGAATTCATGGGCTCCAGAATCAGAACCTCCAAATCAAAATCTTGGCGGGGATAAATATCTGTGTTTTAACAAGCAGCCCCCAGGTGATTCTGATGCTTAGGGAAGTTTGAGAACTCCTGGAATTCGGGGAAAACATCACTGAGAAAGGGACATTTGACTTGGACCTTAAAGGATTTGTAAAGTTTTGTAAGGCAAAGAGAGTAGGGAAAGGCATTCAGTATTTATTTAGCTACCGGTACCTTTGGAATTTGTATTGAACTTTTAAGGGGGTTGTGTTTTTCCTACAGGTGTTTTGTTTTTTAAATACACTTTTTATTTTGAAATAATTATAGATTAACATGTAGTTTTAAGAAATAATACAGAGTGATCCCTTGTATCTTTTACTCAGTTTCCCTCAATAGTAATTTCTTGCAAAACTATAGTGCAATGTCATGGTCAGGATATTGGCATTGATACACTCAAGATGCAGAACCTATCCATCGCCACCAGGAACTCTCATGTTGCCCTTTTATAGCCA